TGAAGGGCCTGACGAGCGAGGCGGCAGAGGGTCGCTACACATGGCTGGTCGATGCGGTGGAGGGGCGGCTGCGTGAGGAGGGGCAGAAGGGCGCGAGGGCGGAGGCGGAGGCCGTTAAGGACCTCAAAATGGCGCTGGTGCTGATAAGGGGCGGGATGAATGCGGACGAGGGGCAGCGAGAGGACTTGAGCACAATCATAAGGTACGCCAACATATCACAGCACATTACGGGCAGAGACACCATTCATCGGTCTCTGTCTGTGTGGGTTCTTGTTGCAGATCCTGTGAATCCCACATCTGAGCTGAGGACCATGTCGATGCCGAGGTGTGTGAAGTGGGTGAGGGGCATGCTGTGGGGAACTCAACACACGCCCACAGCCGCCCACACACACCAGCCACAGCAGCAGCAGCAGCACCTCACCGTCCCATCAGCGTCAGCCCACTTATCGAGCGCCGGCAAAAGACAGCGATGAGTCGCCCGCATCGTCCGACGCAAGTAAGAAGAGCCAAAATTGACAGAGGGACACATCACACAGCATTCAGAGACACCACTTATCGCTCTGTGTAATGTGTGTGGCTTGGTTGTTGCAGATCATGTGAGGGCCGCGCCTGAGGGCCTGAGCATGTCGGTGCGTAGGTGTTAGACGGCTGTCAGCATGAGATGGAGGGAGGAGGGAGGGATGCCAAGGTAGTGGTGTTGGGCATGGCTGCCTACATTTTATATCGGTATGTTCGTGCCTCCACTGATCATGTACCAAAACAACAGTGTCATTGCCAGTAGCATTCCCCTTCCTGGCTCAGTATAGGAGGAGACGCGCGTGTGAATGTGTGTGATGTGCACACCTACCTCGTCGAATTGATTTGCTCCCCAACATGCGATGGATGCACCTCGGGCAGTCATTTCGTTACGTACATACAATACATAACGAAAGGCACGCACACTGTCCGTTGTCGGCACGCCATGCCATGCCATGCCACTCGACTCATGCACCATCATCAGCGCACAACACGCTCACACTCGCAGTCTCTCACACATTCGGCAACCATCGACGTCCGTATCCTACGCACCTTTTTCCCTCGCCTCCCTCTCCGCTAATTAGAATCACATGAAGCGCAAAACTGGGGCAGACAACACCTCACACACCACACGGCACTCACGGGCAGGCAGGCAGAAAGGCAGGCAGGCAGTCAGGTAGAAAGCGGGCCGAGACGAAAATCGATACGTACGATGGCGTGCGTGCGAGAGGGTGGATAAGTATGGAAAAACACTGACTGGTCGGGCGGGCGGTTGGGGCGGCCACGGGCACGCAGCCAAGAAGGAAGAAGCAATCACCCCCCCCCCCCCCCC